CCCTTTCAGAGAAGATTTTGGTTACTTGTCCAGAAGATCCAGGGTTGTAATCCATTGAAATGAGGGGACCCATTTTGGATTTTTGCCAGCATAAATGAGATCAGTGTCACCTGTCTCTTTCAGTAGCTTGTGGCCTCAGTTCTGTAAGAAATGGAGTCTTCTTCACTTCCAGTTTCTGCAGTGGAGACTGAAAACACATGTGAGCTTGCAGGATTATGCCCTCTGTGGAAAGTGATCAGGGTTTGATGTTAACATCCAATTTCCAACAGCATAACATTCTGCTTCACGAATTAAGGGGGCGGGGGGAGTTAAAACTGTTACAGGAACAAGATGAAGCACTGAATTCTGCACTTTGACAAGGAACATTTTGAAAAACTTGCAAATTTACCCATAATACAGATCCAATTTGTCTGAAGATTCTATCCATATGGTAAAACACGCATGAGACACATGTTTCACACATGCAGTCAAAAAACCCCATTGTGCTGCTATTCATTGTGTAATATTAGAAGCTCTATAGAATATAATAAATGCTTCTAAAATATTCTACTTTAGTCAACATTATTTTGATAGCAATTATACCATCTATAGAAATATCCATTGCCTTTGATGGAGATAATATGAGAACATGGAATATTTTATTATTTACTTTCAAGTAACATACTTGGGGTATAAATCAATGCAGTCTGGTCTATAAAACATCTGTTTAAATATGTCTCCTTAGATCTATGATACATCCTGATGATTTAAAACTATTCCAAACCATTCCATCCTTTTTCATATTTTGTATGCACTAGAGCATACCCAAGATACCAAGCTTTAGGAGGATGATGAGCCACTCTGTACAGTTCAAAGACCTGAAAAATTACTGTGGTTTGCTTCTTCATTTTATTGTATTGTGTTCATGTTTAATGTTAGATCACCTTGGCCTCAATTCAGCATGCTACTTAGACATGTTCTTGTGAGAAGTAAGCATGTACTTAAGGGCAGGGCTGAATCTGGACCTTTATCCTTGACTGTTGTGACTAGCCATGCATTAGCTGTCTCCTTGCATGTTGGTTTTGATGAGGAATACATTATTTGCATTACATTAACTAGAAAAGCAAGCATTGTGCCATTTCAGAGATCACTAGTTAACAAACACAAATAACTTGAGAGCAAAACATCTGCCCTAAAAACCAATGCTCATGTATTTCTGGTTAGCCACATTGCCTGTCCCAGGTTCCCCTGGGCAGTCCTTTGATACATAAGTAACATAGTTCTTATGCTGCATATGTGGCTTCTTGGCCCTTTTAGAATGGAAGGGTTTGAGTCTGTTGTGGGGGGGAGAGGGGGAGGGAAATTGATTGATTGAAAGCACAAATTTTGTGGCCCAGAAAGGCATGTGGATTATGTTGCATTAAGTGGTGAATATATCAAACATTTAAAGGGATAATGAATGTTTTAATCATGGGATACAGTGAGTATTAAGCATGCATTTCTCACTAATAGCTTGTGAAGGTGGCTAGCAGGTTTTTTCCTGTTCTGAGAATTTCTTCAGTAAAACACTGGATCCTGTTTATTTGTTGCTTACCAAGAAGGCAAATTTAATCTTGTTTTTTCCCCTCTACTTATATCTGACTTATCAGTTGGTGACCTTCAAATTGAAAAATGCATTCAGTTTAAAAACTGAGTTGCCTAACATTATATACAATGATGTTTTGTCTCATGCCACCTACATATAACAGCAATACTTCAAAATGTCTGCCACTGATTTTATGTGGAGCTAGGTACTTTGGCTCTTTTGAAAATCCTCCTACGCACCTATTTGCTGTATTAGATTTGCCTTGAAAAACTACCTTTACATGACTCTACAAAGGAAATCTGTGAGCCCAGGCTACCAGCCCAAATCAGGATTCTAACTGGCAGACTGTCCTTAAGGAACATTCAAATAACCAGATTTAATATGAACTGTGTTATGATAGTTTCTTTCAGTTTCATTGGAAACAAGCCCAAATGGTTCACCAGACTGAATCATCCCTTATAAGGGCAGAAACTTGCAGAATGGAGTGGAAACATCAGTAAGCAAGAACACCCACAGCTTCAATGGGAGCTTCCCTGAAATAAGGATTTAGTAAAGATTGTAGGTTTGGGCCATGGATGGGGACAGTCACCCACACTCACAGTGCATCTCAACCACTTGTGTACTGGGGAGCGCCCTCCTATTTAGCCTTATGGAATGGCCAGGGTGGCCACAACATTTTAACATGCATTGGTGGCTTTCCTCTTGGAGTCCTCTTGAAAAATTAAGAAACCACGAACAGACAGTTCAAAGTCCTAGTTTCCCTCATTTATTTTTGCCAATCTAGTATAGTTTTTCTATCCTCTTTTTTGAGGATAAACAAGACCAACCTCCTGGATTTGCTCATTTCTCTTGACACATTTCCAATTGGTATGAATCATTTTACATTAATTAGCAATGTCCCTATTTCACTCCATTATTGAAGATGACTTCTGGATAAGATGCCAAATTAATGTTATTCCTACACCAAAGTTTTTAAATATTTCTAAACTAAAAATATGGCCATAACAGAATAGTATTACTATGGTAAACTGATAACCTAAGGTGAAAGTACTCTCCCACTGTTCAATAAGCCTCCAAAAGCCTGTAGAACATTATTCCAGATTAGGCAGTGTGTTTGAATATCAGTTTTTCAGGAATGCTACCAATCACTGTGATCAGCTTCTAATCTTTTATTCACTTTTTCAGTGGTAAGAAGGGTCATCATAATCTGTTCTCACCTCGGGAAGGAAGAGACATGGCTTCATCCTGGAAACTTGGAGATATTCCCCAAAAGCCTTTGTTTGCCCTAATATTCCATAATGTTAGGCTTTTAGAGTCAATAACCCATTAGTAATCAAGAGATGTATCATTTATTAATTATGCACCTTATTAATATTTAATCTTTCGGGTTGCTGAGCTTATTTCCAAATCTACTTTTTAATTACATTAAAAAAATAAATCTTCAAGGCAACCATTATAAAAGTAATTTTTCTGCACATTATGAGTTCAATTACTTTTGAAACAGCTGTTTGTGGACTCCTGTGATGGTGCAGTAGTTGGTAAAATGGCCATCTCAGCTCATGCAGGCTCTTTGCTCATTTGAAAGCTAATTGAATATTAGAGCAAGGGGAGTGTTGCAAAGAATTTCCTAAGAGTGCTAAAGTAGCTAGGAATTACAATTGGACATGATGTCCACTACATGCAATCACCAGCTTTGCAAGGAAACACCAGCTGATTGCAGACGATGGTCTGCATTTACACTGCAGCAGTGTTCTGAGCTCAGCAGTTGTCTTTGGAAGCATTTAAAGAAACTTCCCTATCTCTGGAGTTAATTGCTAGAGTTATAGGCAAGCTGTTACCCAAGGTTGGATTCCTTAGCCTTAAAACATCCAGGGATAGTTAATGCAGAATTCACAGCTGGAGTGGAGCTGGAGGATGTAGCTCAGCAACTTGCTGTGCCTGGTTCTGCACCCCAACACAATTGAGGGGAAGATTTAGTGAGGCCAGATTTAGTGAGGTCCCTGTGTTTCTAGAATCAGTGGAGCCCAAATATCAAATACTAGGGGCTGGTTTTAAAGCCCAGAGGCCTGAATTCTGTGCAGTCAATGTGCCTGTGATTACATGCTTTCTCTTCATCATTTTAAATGTTAAGTTCTTCTTGCTCTTAGGTTGCATATAGAGCCCCAGTCATGGATATGATTTCAGTATAACATGCACGGACATGTATGAACAACAGCTTTGTCTGTTGTATGTTTTCCTTGAATGTGTCAGTACAAATGTTCAGTGATAAACTAGGATTATCTTCAAATTTTGAAATTCTAAATCTAAAAAATAATTGGTGAATTTTTAACTCCAATTTCACCATTCTTTTTCAACTGTTCAATTCCAGTGGATCACCTCTTACAGAGTAGCTGTCTACAAAATTATAACCAGAAACTTCCTAGTTTCAGGAATACATTGGTATTATTCAACAGTTGCAGAACGTCACTTTTACACACAAAGAGTATGACATGCACAGTATGCACGTACAAAATAAAGCTGTTAAATACAGTGTTCAGAGCAATGTTCTCTCTGATGGCCTGTCTGTATCATCATGGTCAGAAAGGTTAACGTGAATCAATTGAAAAATGATCACGTAAACCATGCTAAACCGTCATGTAGATTCCTATCTTGGTCAGGAGTAACTGGCCTTTGCTAACTGTAGCTTACATCTATTCTTAGGAGAAGAAAGGGGATCAAATTTGTTTAAATTAGATTTAAAAAACTTCTGAAATTAGGGGGGCAGAATCTGCTCATGGACCAAATTTTACAAATGGCCCTTATCATATTTTTATAATGAAGTTCCCCACATAAAACTGGGAGAAAAACAAAAACAAACCAACCAACCATAAGAAGCAACTCTCCCCAAACAAACAGAAAATAAACCTAAATCAGATAATAAAACAAACCTCCAACCTTTCCCTCAAACCTGAACATCCCCAAAAGTTTACATTCAACATCCAGGTAGAACATATGTGGCTTTCACCCATATCTGGTTAAGCACTGGATTTAAATCTGCCTTAGATGCTGTATCATACGAACAAAAGTATCAAGTAGTTAAAATGGATGTGTTATGCGTTATGAAAAAAGGCATCATACTTCACATGCACAATGATTTCAAAAACTGAAATCTGTGAATCTTGCTTCAATTCAGATATACTGCAGATCTGTTGCTTTCCTACTGTGTATATACTAAAAAGGCATCTGTTTCTGAAGCTGTCATTTTGTTTGGTTTAATAGGACCACTTATCTAAGTTGCGTCATATCATGATCTAGAAAAGCGAGTATGTTTTGTGGGAGTCAGGACTCCCAGGGTCAGTTTTCATCTCTTAGCTAGTGACCGTGTGACTCTGGGCAACTTTATGTGCCTCATCTCCCTGTCTGGGACTAATAGCTTACAGAGCTGTGGTGCAGCTGAGGTCATTGGTGTGATGTGGTTGTGATGTTGGGAAAATGCCCTGGAAGCGGCTGAACAGAGAGAGCGTGGAAAGCTGCACGTGGGGGATGTTTGTTCAGGTGAACCAGAGAAGCAGCATCCAAGGCACTGGGATTCTGGAAAGCTGAGCAAACAGAATCTCACTGAGCTCTACAGGGAAAATGATTCCATAGGACTGTTAACTTATCTCTAGATCGTCTTCTAATGTTCAGTGTTAATGCTCCATGTATCTGCAAAAGGAAAAGTATATCAATACTTATCTTACATTGTGTGCATGATTAAAATTAAAGTTGATTTGTCCATTAAGCACTGCAGTAACAGGTTCCCCGACTTTTCACAAGACATTAAAGGAATGAGGCATATCAAAAAGACATTCTGTTACAAAAGAACACTAATCAATGCTGAGAACATTGGCTATAAATTATTCATATTTGTTATAAACTACTCAAACCTTTTAAAAAATTAACAGTATATGGCACTGTAAGTTGGAAACAAAAGCAGGTCTGTTTCACCTTGGAAGTTCTAATCTGATAGTATGCTACAGCATGCAGGATCCAAGTAAATATAGCATTGAGACACCAGTTTCAGAGGATTATAAGAAATAAATCACTGAATGGTCTTGCATCTGATAGAGCCTGATCCCTGTTCCTTGTTGTGTATTCTTCTGTTACCACACATTAATTTTTAATGCAACCATTTCAAAATAAAGTCATAATGCGAGCCATAAATCACAAAACAGTGGTAATAAACCACTTAGGTTTATATTAGCTGTATACAGATGATACTTAAGCATTTCCACCATTAGCAAGGACTACTTGAGTGTTCCTCATACAACATTTCCTCTCTTACTTCCACTTTAAATTGTGGAAATGTGGGAAACAAAGCTAGTGGGTCACTATTTGCTTTCTTAATTGAATGATCATATTCAAAATGGATGAAGTTTTTAGCACTTTTCTGACACAATGTATTTTACTCCTTTACCAAAGAATGTCACAAAACTCACCCCTTTTCAGTACTCCCAAGATCTCCTACTGAAATGGAAAACAGGCAAGGGGAGGAGGAGTAACAGAAACAGTTATGGTCAAGAGTGAATACACACTGACACATACTGCTTAGTGCTGAGACAGACAAAGGGAAATAGCTGTGTCCCAATATCACCAGGATCTACTTTTCCCCCCCAAAACTATTTGCCACAACTGCAGTTGAACACGTGGATCTTAGATTGGTCCTCTCAGTCATCTATGGACTCACTGGTAATTTCCCTATTTATTGGAAGACTGACATCCTTGTATTGAGGGGACTGCCACTGCTACTGCTGGCTATAGGGTTAGATGGGCTGTTCAAGGCCAGGCCCATATACAGGTAAGATCCCTGAGAGAGATGTGTAACTCAGGTACAATTCCTTTCCTGCCTCCTCCTTTGTCCTGATGCAAAGTTGCTTACCGTGGCCATTTTCTGCATGTGCCTCAGTGTTGCTGACCTGGGTGGAGGCATGGTTCAATGGTTCCTTTTCTGTCCCTTTCTGCTCTACAATAGGCCTAAGTATGGGCCTCTCTAACTTGTGCCTTAAGAGAAGTCCTGGTCTCAGGGTATTGGTTAACTTTTTTTATTAAAACTTTTATCAACTCCCAGGCTTGAAGAACTTACAAGAATGTGGGAGTTCTTGGGAATATAAAACCTCACTAGCCTGTTATTTGGGGAAAGCGTGATATACGTCAGTGAAATGAGTAGCATTCACATTTCACCTGTGGGAAATAGTGGGACCTGGCTAACTCTTCAGTTCAATTTATTAGTTGTCTGGCCTGAAGACACCCAAAATGAGTAATATTGATAGTACTGAACTTTGAATAGAAAACATTGTCCTTACATAAGGAATGGTGATGGGACAAATTTCCATGGTAGATAATAATAGATAATGAAAGAGAACCGACTCTTCTCTTTCCCATGTTCAAAGGCATGGCATTTAGAGCACTGAAAGGTTAAAATAGAGGCTCTTTGCAAGAACTTGAAAAGGTGGGGTTCATACCTTTGATGTTTGGCACTGGATGATCTTGCATATACATCTCACCTGGCTCCATCTTGGCTTGCTCCACACTTGGGCTCCTGCATGCCTAAACATATTTTCATGAATAAAAGGCATGGCAACAGTTTATTTTCCTACATGCATGACAAATTATGTGAGCACTCAAAAGGAGCATATTGTTTAGAACAACTCATGCCACTGCTCATCTACAGCCTTCCTTAGTACATGGAACTAAGTAATGCTGCAGTAGGACTGATGCAGCTAAATGGGATTATGGTTGTCAACAGTCCAACAGAACTGCTTTTTTCATTCTACATATAGCCCTTAAATTAATTTAATTTGGCTTGCTTCTACACAAGTGGTGCTCAGCCTTCTGGTCCCATGGACCAGGTGAGTGGCACAGGGCCAATCCATGTACCAGAGCCCCTGAGCAGGGTCAGTAAGCAGACTGGATCCAGTGTAGGGTTGGCATGTGGGATCAGTCTGCAGGTGCAACCCCACATACTGGATCCAGCTCCAAGCACCGGATCTGAATGTGGTGTGATCCGATGTGCTGGTGCAATCTGGTGTGTGAGGCAGTGTCATCCACTATCATCCCATGTGTTTCCCCAGAGCCTGCAGGCACCGTCCTGCAGGCCAGCTGAGGCGTGTGGACCCAAGTTTGAGCACCACTGTTCTACACTCTAAAATGAAGGAAACAGTCACATCAAAGAGCTAGCATGTGTGTTAGTGTATGACACTAAAGCTGTAGGTAATAATGAAAAGGAATGAGATCTAATCAACAGAAAACTAGATAAGGTAGGATGTGAGAACACAACTGATTTTTAGCTTAGAAAAGTACAGGAATATGATTGTTCATGTCTAAGGTTAAAAACAAGGAGAATATTGTGACCTCCAAAAGTTTCTAGGCAGCGGGATGAAAAGGAACAGATCGGTGCTTTCACATATTATTTCTGTGGTCAATGCCTTCCACTTTTTCCTCTCAGAATTTTAATAAAGACCAGGCCTGAAGCTGAGGTTCCAGTTTTTTTACTTTGGGTCTGTATGGTTAGGTTTATACGCCAATTGATTTCAGAGTGACTTTGCATGGATTTGACGAAATGGCTGGGCCTGAAACAAGAAGGTCAACTCACCTGGCTCCAGATGAGTTGCATAGGGCAATTTATGTGCCAGGTTGGGCCCAGGGATCCACTTCCCTCCCTACTCCTCTTCACTTTCCACATGCTGGATCCAGCACCCACAGTACAACCACAGTGAGACCCATGCCACACACTGTACCACGCCAGCCAGTCTAGGATCTATGCTGCACATGGCTCTCCCCTGTCCCTAGCCAGTCTGGGACTCCACTGCTCTACCTGATCTGGGACGCATGCTACATGTGCTGCCTGCGAGGGTTGTGTGCCATACAAGTCCTGAAATACTGGCAGGGGGGAAGGGGGAGGAAGGGTGCAGCATGCAGCATGGATCCCAGAGAGGCCAGGATTGGTGCCATGTCTAGTATAGATCTCAGATTGGCTGGAAGGGGTGCCATGTGTAAATCTGGCCCATGACACCCCTGGCCTAAAATGTATAATAGGATTATAATGATGACATGATTGTAAAATATAGTAAAAGCTGGAGTTTAAGTGGGAATGGCATGGTTAAATTAGTCTGTACTGCCCTCATAGTCATCTCCTACATGATAAATACACCCAAAGCACATAAGGCTCTTTTTAAAGAAGCAGTGAGCTTTAAAAAAACAGCCCTTACTTATTTTTTTTCAGATGACATCAAATGGACATTATAGAAAGGCACCGTGTTTCAGTGTGAGAGCTCATCTACGTATGATGTGGTTATTCACATAAAGGACTGGACTCTGCCATCTGCCAAAGCTGTAAGTTTTCTGTAGAAAACAAATAACAGTCATGTTCTAATTCTTTTCAGCATGGTCTCACCTTAGGACATTCGTTTAGGCTTATCAACATTGCTGTCAATACATGGGTGAGAGGAGCGTAGGACTTTGAAAAGCAAATGTGTATTGAACCTCATGGTTTTTCTACACAACAATAAAACCAGCATCTCCCTGACAACAAAACCAGCATATCTCTGCTTAGAACATTTGTTGTAACATCAAATAATATTCTAGTATTTGGGACAGGAAGGAATAATATCCAGGAAGTGGTAAGATAACAAAAAACAATGGAGGATTTTTTGGAAGAGACTGGAGACAACATTTGGAAAAATAAGATGTCAGAAAGAATCTAGGCTGTGTTGATAATGACCAGAAAACAGTGGTTTTGACCATCAGAGGCAGAAGAGGAATGTGGTAGAACTAAATTATGTTTCTCCAGAACCTCTAAGTTTGTAGTGGTGTCGGAAGTTAGAGTAGGCCTTAGCAAATCTAGTACCCGCTAGGCCAGGCAGCAGGGAACTGAAAAACTACAGCCTACAGCCTAAAGACCCCTACAACTGTCAGCTTCCACTACATACCAGTGCAATGAGGTTGTAGTTGGGAACTGGGGTAGACAACACAGTGGATACTGTTGGGAATATAACTAGGGATTCTGCCTGATCCTCTTGACAATGTGCAGTAGGGGCTTAACCCAAAAGGCATTGAATTCTGAGATAAGACTCCTGTAGACTTCACTGGGCTTTGCATCAGACTCCAGGGACAACATTTTAAATGTACAACACAAAATTATCAAATAAATAACAATTATTTATTCATTAGGCTATGCTCTGGAACCATTAACAAAGTTTTTTTTAATGTAAACATTGAACTATTGATTTAGAAGCTAGTGAGTGCATATTGACTTCACAAGACTCCGAAGCTTCTCATAACCTGGATCAGCACAACCAGATTCCTTTCTGTGCCTTTTACCCTCACCTCCTTTTAAAACTGTTTAAGCAGTGTTACCACTTACTATGTAACAGGAAACAATTACAGTGAATAATTCCATGTACTGCTACAATTTTGAAGCAGATTATTTAAAAAAATATTTTCTTTAGATACCAATTTTGATAATGAAAGCAGGAAGGAAATATATTAGCAATTAAACTAACGTGTTTTAGCACAACAGACAATAAACTGCTTTACACTGAGCCTCTGTGAATTAAAAGCTGGAACAGCATTGGACAAAAGTCAAGGTTATGCTGACACATTTATTTCCAAGTAAATGAAGACTGTTTAGTTTTAATGCATTTGTGGTTAGCGATAGTTTCAAAAGATCAATGTAAATTCATTTTGAACTAGTAAATAATGCTTTAATGAGATTTCTGACAGCATGCTTTCACACCTTTCCATTCCTTACCTTTAAAAACGCCCAAAGGTGAACCTATGTTTCCTGACATATTATGATCCACAAAAAATATTGTGCAATATTTTATGAGTTCTGTCTGATGTGGATTTGATTGATGGAATGGCTGTTTGGTTTTAACAACTGCAGTTCTTAATCAGGTATGCATCTCACAGTATGTTACTGTTCTTCCTTCTTATACAAATGCTTAACTCTAATTCAGAGTAAAAGAAAGTTAAATGGTTCCTTGTATACCAATGCATAAAAATTAAATAACTTGTATGAAATGCAAGATGTGATTTGTCACAAAACTCTGCTGCCCTTGTGATATAAACCTGGGGCACTGAAGATCCAGTTCTCAGGCTGCATCTGCCCAAAGGAGCAGAATCATCCAGCCTATCATCCTGCTCAGGAACCTGTGATAGTTAATGCCATCGCCACTTGCCCTACCACCAGAGCTGTATCCAGATCTGACTTGCAAGGCTCCTTGTAGCCTGGGTCCATCATGTGAGGAGTCCTTAGGGCCAAGGGGGTGCATCCAGATGTGCATGGCCATTTGGTTCACCAGGGACACCTAGCAGCAGCACACCTTGCGCCACAGCTACCTGTCCCTGGGGAATGCCCATGCCACACGGGTTTTGGCACATGGCAAGTCACCCCGGGGTGGTAGGGGAACCTGGGGCTAGCATTGTGTTGGCCCCAGCAGCCTTACCTGGGATCCTGGGGGCCTTCTGGGGCTGCAGCCACAGTGCTTCTGCTGGGTGGAGCCAGGCCAACAGCCACAGCACAACTCTAGCTGGCCCAGCCTTGCTTTTCAGCAGTGCGCACTGCCCAAGCGTGCATTGCTCCGTTTTTTTTCCCCACAGGTTTTTTTGACCCCTGGATATCCAGTGGTAAAAAAAAAAGGAAAAAAAGTGGAGGTCAGAAAAATCCATGGAACCCCCCTGAGCAGTGCACGCATGGGCAGTGCATCCTTGCAGCATGGAGAACACTGGACTGTGCGGTATGTGGTGCTGCAAACATGTATACAGCGTGCAACATACCACATAACCGTGCTCAAATGGAGGTGCCCAGGGAGTCTGACACCTCTGAAGCAGAAATATGCTAGTGTTAAATATGCTCTTCCCCTCTTTACAGAAACCTGATCAGACTCCCATTTAAGTCAGGGTGAATCTTTTTACTGACCTTAAACAAGGATTGAATCAGATCTAAAGAGATTGTATGCCAGTGTAGTCTAAAGATTCTGGCACTATGAGTTTGAAATGGCTGGATTACTCACAAATTGGCAAAGCCAAGGATGACTTGTACAACTCATGCCAGCCAGTTGTCAACAAAATCTTAATAACACATCATCATGCATTCTGTATATATATCACATCTCTTACAGAAATGTCTGTGCTTTTCAAAAGTGCTATTTCATCTGAATCTCCCTGTAAAATCCAATGCTTTGGATTCCAGTTCAGCAAGCTGAACATATTTTTAAGCACCCAGCAAGTTCCACTGACTTCAGTGGTATGATTCATGCACTTATTGAATGAGGTCCTTAGTTCAACTGCACATCTCTGAGAGAGGAGAAATATATATCTCATTTAGTTACCCCCCGCCCCAAGTAACCTAAAATAATTTCATATAATATGTAACACTCACAACTTAGGCAACTCACGATCTACCAGGACCAAAAGTGAGCACTTTAACAGTTGGATATGTGGGAATATGTATTTCCTAATGGTATAAAGACCTATTTCTAAGTCTCATAGGACATAATGACCTGTGAACCTCTCACTTGTTTAATTAATATTCATCTTTAACAAAAAAAAGTCAGCATAGTTTTGAGAGATAAGACAGCACAGTTTGAGGGGAAAACTTATCTAGCATTGGTCTATAGTAAAACAAGTTGCTGGTTTTTGGACACAGTGTCCATGTCCAGACACCACAAACCTTTTTTTGGTGCCATAAACTGCATTTGTGGAATGTTAAAACATGTCCTGCACTGCAAATTTGCAGTACGGGAGCATAATTTGCTACTGGGATTTCCTGGTAAAAAAAAAAAAGCGGTGCAGAGCATGAGAAAATAACATGCACCACAACAAATGAAGCTTGGTCCTCCAATGAGATGCTCTGGCTGTTGGCCTGAGCATCTCTACTGCTCCATTTTTGCCCTTGATGCTCTAGCACACTGGGAGCTGGGAGGAGCTGGGCAAAGACAGTTTACCCAAAGTGGGATAATGTGTCTCTCAACAAAGCGCACATGCAAGGGCATGTGCCGAGGCATCAAGTAGCGGCATAAATTTGTGCTGCTACTATTTGTCCCTCTGCAAGTACACTCCCCTAGACACAGCGGCCACATTCAGACAAGTGTGGATGTGTGGTATGTGGTGCTACAGACATGTCTGTGGCACCACATACTGCACATTCAGCTGTTCTCCATGCTGCAAGGTAGCAGTGTGGTGGGTGTGGCAGGCCAGTAGGGGGTGCTCCTGCATTAAGCCACCCACCTCACTGTGCCCGACCACTTTCCGGGCTCCGAATGCCTCCCTGGGGGCGCCTCACATCTGGCTGACCACCTTCCTGGAGCACACCCCCTAGCCTGGGGGTAACACTGCCACCACCCAGGGATGGGCTTGATTCTGGCTCTGCACACCTTCGGAAACACAGGCCTAGTAGCCCTCAAGGGTATTTGATTCACTTCAAGAAATTGGGATGCTTTCCTCAGTCGGAAGCACAAGTAGTGGTTTCCCTTAGTCAGTCGAACCAAGGGGACCCCAAGGCATAATCTAGACCCACTCCCAATAAGTCCCCCATGCTAGGTACAAAGGAGAACTTTATTAGTTACAAGGGGTAGGGTTGGAATAGGGTACAGGGTAGAACAATATTAGAGAAATCCCATAGAGCAAACTGAGTGGCTGGGGTAGCCTTTGATCATGCATCTGAGTTACTGCAAGCTATATATCTAGTTAGATCTCAGGTAGCTTACTCACAGGTATCATCCAGAGGCAGGTGGAGATTCCCTCTGGAGGCAGGCAGTTCCTTGATCATGAGTTTTGAGAGAGAGCAAGTTTCACATGGTGCAGCTCTTCTCTCTTTGGGTCTTTCTCATGGCTGCTGCTCCCTCCTCCTGGACAGTCCTTAACTTATATAGCCCTTGTGACCTCATTTACCTGGTCCAATGGAGGCCAGCACCTGTTGGCTGTCAGCCAACCAATTTGAAATGCATCACTAGTTGCTGGGCAGACTGGCAGTTCCTAGCTCCCCAGGGAGCAAGCCCCTCACCCAGGGATGGGATGCCAGTCATGTAGGCAGAGGGAGCAGGTTTCCCCCCTCCCTCAGGAATGTATCCAGCTCAGGTTACCTAAAGAGATAGGGTAAGGTGTGTACCCTCTGTAGAGGCCATCTTAACCAAATTGTCACAGAGCAGTTTTTGAGGAGAAACAGAGGTGGCCTTCTGTCACACTTCCCCCACCTCCTTTAAAAGCTTGGACACATGGCTTTACAGAGCTATGGGTGCGAGCGTGTTTCATTTGGAAGGGTCACCTTTCACACCTAAAGAGAGATTACACAACACATAAGACTGGTCATAACGATAAAACACATAGAAGGTGAAAGCACA